GATTTCCAGTATTGAAACTACATTTCTTGACACTATTTGAAGGTAGGCTCTAATTTGATTGTTTAGAGCCTAAGCTCTATACAAACCACACCCATATATATATATATATCAACACAATAATGGTGAACTTAGAATTTAATACTTCAAAAGTTTTTACCATAAAGTATCATTATATCTTCAAAATTGACTTTTGAATAAATAATTCATGTATTTTAGGCAAGGTTTTGTTGTCTAAAAATCCCCCAAAATTCAATTTAAAATTTAAAAAGATTCTTTCAACTTTTTGAATGATGATTTAGTATTAAATGCAATCAAACTATAGATATGCCCTATTCGAAATTTACAAACAAGTTATTGTTAATGTTATTTTCGTATTTGTGAGGATATTTTATGTGAATAGTTTTGTAGTCGTAAATTCTTAGTTTACCGTTAGTGTGGTGTATTCTAGAATATATCCTTTTATATTAACATGTTATTGAGGGAGGATTGGAACTCTTAATGTCACGTTATGGCTCCACCATCTTGACCACCATGTCAACCTTAAACAATCAAAGTAAGGCACACCCCCAAAATCCTGCTGAAAGAGCAGTACATGGGTCGTAAAGCACTGTGATGGTCTAAAATCTATTTTTATCCTTATTATAAAATTTAATAATAGTGCAAATAGAGCACATCTATAAACATTTAAAGATACTGAAAATGGACAGTCCAAGTAATACAATACGAGATGAATTTTTTGTCGTAATCATAAATCTTGAGTCGAGACAATCAAATTGGAAGGTTTTTATAGCATTGGAGCAATTTATTCCAGTGAATTTTTTTATGTGCACCCTACTTCTATAATATAATGTTGATACCTTATATAAACTTCTTCCATATATATTTCAACTTCTTAATTTGTGTTGATATGCAAAGGGGCCACACTAGAACATCTCATTCGCCAAAAAATATTTCTTTCATGATTTGGAATATTAAAAAGGCTCCCTAGTATTACAGTGGGGTTCCTGAGTCTAGAGGATGTCAAGGCCTAGAGTAAATTTCTCTGACTCATTGTCCAATGGCCATATTTTGGGAGGTGAAGTAGAATGATATTTAGAGCGGTGACCGCAGGTCAAGATATGCTTGCAGAACATGTCACGATGCCATGTTATTTACTAACAACAAACGAATTCTATTGTACATCAGTGTTCAAAAGCTCAAGCTCAGTGGCCAACTCTGCCCCATCAAACCATGTGAAAAGTTTGAAAAAGGCACAAAGCAGTCCATAGTGGGATTCGGACCTAGCCCATAGTTTTTAATATATTAAAATTCACCCCCTGGTTGAGCTGAGTTGAATTGGAAAGTTTTTCTGAATCAGAAACATTTTTTCCTCTCTGCTAAATGTGGACAAATTTTACAGCAACACACAAACCATGGACTGGTGTCCGGTGTCAACTACGTAAGACTTTGACACATGTTGACACCTCACGATATGGAGAAAGTATTAAAATAAAGGAAAGGTTTCTATACTTCCCCTATTGTATAGAAGATATATTTCCCCCACATCCAGCTGTCCAATTTAGATCAAGTGAGCAACGGACCGTTTGATCTCGATCCTACGCCTCAGAGTATTTTATTTTAATTATTTTTCTACAAATTATATGAATATGAAATTTGGTTCGTGCGATCATCTCAATGGGGCGCACCTAAAAATAATATTAAAAAAATATTTTTGATAAATATAATGACCAAAATACCTCTGAAACTTTCAGGGGCATTTTGATCATTATAGTTTATTGGGAATATTGTTTTTATATTTTTTACAGGTGCGAGTTTAAGATAGGAGTGGACGCATAAAATTTTGTGTCAAAATGTTTTGTAGAAAAACAATTAAAAATAAAATAGTGTAGAAGCGTGACATTGTGCTTGGGGCCATCTCAGCCGTTCATTCAAAATAGACGGTTGGATTGGGTGAAGTATATAAGTTTTATACAATAGGGGAAGTATAGAAAGCTTGCCCTTAAAATAAAATGGAATAAAATGGAACTTATACCCAAAACAGTAAAAAGGATATAACCACTGATTGCAGGTGTATTTGCTCCTATCATGATCACATCTATTAGTAGAATGCTTCAAATGACACCCATTAATAGTACCACCCAATGCAAATTCAATTTCTAAAATCCCATAGCCATCAATTCGTATCCACCACACAATTTACATATTGCAGAGGTTAGCAAATCTTAGTATTTATTAAAGAAAAAATTAGCGAATTCAAAACTGGTACTTCATAACAAGAACTTTTCAGTGTCAACAAACATGGGAAAGGTATATCAATGTACACCTTCAAGAGAAAGGTGAATACATGTAAAGAAGACTCACCTTTAGACATCACTACTAAAGAACTCCCATTATTAGCACCACCAATAGCACTTATGTAATAGTTCCTTTCCCATTGCTCCATGATCCATTCCTATATAATGTTCAAAATATGTTAAAAGTATAAAACAGAAAGCTATAAACTAAGTACTTGACTATAGAAATGACTCTGAATTAAATTCTCAAGACACCAAAAAAGCTAAAATTTAACAACCAGAACCAAGTACCTTGTTAAGAAAGTATGGCGATAGATCATAAACTTGACTTGTAAACCCAGTTCCTGCATCCATAACTAGTGCCCATAGATTTGAACATGACGCCACACAACTTATTAGAAGACCATCCACTATTCCTCTATCGACATGTTGTGCTAGTCGAGCATCAGCCACATTATAATGATACCTAAAATATCAAGTAGATTTGAGAAACTTCTAAAGAAAATTTATGCATCAAGTAATTTTCTGTATAATAGAAATTTTATGAGCATAAATAACATAAATAATGAGAGTGCCTACATAGAACCAATACTATGACAAGGTCAATACATATAAATCAGGACAAGCTTTTTTAATTTGTTCTGAGATTGTGCCAGAAAGATATTTGCACGCTCCTTGCCAAAGCACTTAGACCGTATAGATCCCTATGCGCACCCATGGGGTATAAAGAAGCCCGTGAGTAAGGTTTTCTTTGGCAGTCTTCCCCACTTAAGCGGAATAGAAAGTACCACCTAGATCCATTTCTACCAGTCTACGAGGATCATACATTCATACATTACAAGAAGAGAAAATAAAAATAAATAAAAGATAAGTTCTAAAACTTCAGTTCAAACCTTAGTTTTAGGGTTTAATATCTCGCAAAAGACTTTGTACTTCTTAAAACTATGATGATCGAACATAATTCCAATCAAAATGAAGAAAAAGCTAATGCGTAAATAAATTTCCTATACTGATCATAGCAGAACAACACTTTGCAACCAACTAAGTAACCATGATCGCTCCCTTTTTGCACATAATTAAATAAGCACAAAGAACCCCAAGAAATAACCGAACGCATATTTACTGCAGAAAGACGGACAAGCAAGTGACAGCATGTGAAAAACAGGATACATGACAAAGCACGCTCATTGCTCTCGAAATAAGACTGAAAAGCACTAATCATGATGTCCATTTAAAGAAAATATTTTCCCTTCGGAGATATCCACATGGTAAAATTTGAAGATTATCCAAATGTGTTCTAAAAGACCAATGTAAGGGAAAATATTTGATTCTATAAACTACTGTTTCCTCTAACAAAAGGAATGATATTAATGGTAATGATAGAAAATAACAACAACACAACAAAAAAAATGAAGCACTCTACTCCTCTACAAATTCAAAACAGAGAGTAAACTTTTGTTTACCTTTGTTTCATTGGATGCCTAGCATTGTAGACTGAAATCCACTGAGTAGCAGGAAGTCCTAAACGGACCTTCTTCTTTGGTTGCCCATCATCTTCTTCATCAATAGTTAGCCTACCTCTTTTCTGGCCTACTTGACACATAATCTGGCAAAAGCACAAAATCAGGTACACAGGCCAAAGATTACACGTCATATAATTATTCAAAAAGTTCGTTATCATCAGACAACCAAGAATTACCCTCTGAGCACCATCTGTATTAATTGGCCTGACAGATGGATTTGGACCAATTACTCCATCAAATAGAGATATTAATTTGGAATAGTTGGGTTCTTCATCAAATTTCAGATTCACCACAATTTCAAGGAACTGCTTGAAAGGATAAGGGCAAAGGCAACACAGCATCTCTGGAGAAGTCGCCATCTTCTTCTTACAAACTAGAAAAGATTTGTTGTCACCCTGATAAGAAAATGTCAAGCGTCACTAAGCAATGTCATAGTGTAACTTCAAAACTCAGCACTAATGCATTTTTTGGTGAACCATTTCAGTCCAACAAGAGAAACTCCAGTGCTACTAAACAAACATAAGTAATAAATTAATGAAAAAGCCAGATGTCACCACTATCTATATCCCAATTTATTATATCTAAAGCCAATGAATGCCCACCTGATAACCCTGCCATGGTAACCTCCCTCGAAGAAGAAATATAAGGGTGTATGCAAGAGACTCCAGATCGTCTCTTCTGCTCGCAGTTCTTCCCAAATGTGCATGAACACTAGCATATCGCACAGTTCCTCTATAACCGATGCAACAAGCAGTCCCCCAGAAAGGAAAAGGATAAGAAACAGACTAAGCAGGGAAGTAAAATAAGAGCTCTAACCAGAAATGCAATGCCACATGAAGAAACAGAACTTGCCTGAAGACATCAGGGCGTTGATCATATTCAACATGCTGCCCACTGGTACTGTCTCTCCATTTGGTAGCTGCAAGGGAAATTCACCAATTATGTGTGAAATTAGAATGAGAACCTGAACGAAATTTTAAGTAAACAGGGACCAAACAGGAAATATATTTCCAAAAACCAAGTTTGCTCAATCCTCACCTAATCCAAGGTCCACAAGAAACAGCTTTTTCTCAGATGGCGTGGACGGCTGACCAAGTAAAAAATTTTCAGGCTTTACGTCTCCGTGCACATAGCTAACATTTGACAGATAGATGAAAAAATGTGAGATGCTATTACTTTATAGTGTGAAACAGCCATTCCAACTCTTGGAATTAATATTTTCTGGTAGTTTAATTTGCACCACACTCATAACACATTTGATTCAAAGTTACTATGGAAATGAGAACAAATTTTTTGGATTTTTAAAGCATCACATTTGAGTCAAAAGTATTTGATGAGATAATTACCCTTTAGAATGCATCTTCTCCAGTATCGAAATAGACTCAACAGCAATACAAGCCACCATTTCAACAGGCAATCTGAAAATTTACACAAGTTAGATAATTACCCTCTAGAATGCATCTTCTCAAGTATCGAAATAGATTCAACAGCAATACAAGCCACCATTTCAACAGGCATGAAAATTTACACAAGATGGCAGTGTTCAAAACTTCAAGTTATATATTTCTAACAAAATATTAAAGATACACACAAATTTAGTAGCAATGATGTAAGAATCAAGACAACTAGCTTCAAAGGAGAGTCCAAGATTTAGGCAGAAATCTCTAAGATTCTGATATAAGATGTTGGCCTGCGATACAAGGATTATCAGACATGGGCGCTGGACTTGTCTCAGATATTTAAGAAACACATGTTATCGCAATGCATGTATATTGAGCCACACTCATAGTTGTATCCATGCAGAAAAAGTTTAGGTGAAGAGAAATCCCAGTCCATTTTTTAAATAGGTACTGTAGAGGGGCTTTGAAGGAAAACAATGGAAGAAAATTAGTTCATACTGATATCGAGCTCTCTCCCAGGGCTGGGCCTCCCCTATTTGACCCTGACTCTTCCTTTTGAATGATCCCTTTATTCCCATTAACTAAAGGGCTAAAACAGTGGTTCGCATCTTTGGATTTTATAGAAAGAGAAGAAAGAGGGAGTGACTTGAGAGAATTCTGGCGTTTAAAAAAAAATCAACAAATCACTAACATTTCTTAGCACCTGTATCAATCAAAAAAATGAACCATTTCGAGACTTACGAATATTTTAAGGAAAGTAAATCACATAATCTGATGAGACTAAAAATACAATAGCATGCCTTCTTTTTTTTGTTTTTTTCGAAAGGCTAGGTAACAAAATACAATAGTACTGAAAAAGAAATTAAGTAATGATAACCTACAAGATTTTGGTGAAAACCAACATGCATTCATTGACACTACAAAATTGCAACCAAAGAAAAAAAGAGAGAAAATATCTTCTACAAGATTTTTTTTATTTTTTTATTTGTTGTGAGAAAAGTTAACTTGATTTTCTGCAAGATTTTGTTGATGATAAATAACTAACTAACCCTTTTTTTTTAATGGCAACTAACATTTTAAGAACCAAAAATTGAATTAACATATGAACTAGACTAGAGTTACTAAGCAAATTTGGCTATTCTAACACCCAGTCGAAAGATAAAAGGGGAGCTCGCACCAAGAAAAAGAGAAAACCAAAACCAAAACCATAAAACTATCTGCATTAAAAAGCACTCACGCTTGACCGGATGTGTTCCATGCATCCCATAAACTGGGACCCAACATGTCCATGACCTGCAGATCAACAGTAAAGAGGCATTTCAATTTAAATAACATATGGGAAAACGAATTAGCGGCTTAATTACCAATATTGGTAACAAAGCATTAAAGAAATGAAGCAAGTGTTAGAATGAAATCAGAATAAAATATATCGGTTGTATGTAAGCAATACAAATATAATAATGAATTCCAACTTCCAACATAAGTCCCATGGCAAACTTTACCATTATGTAATAATCACCCTGCCTCCCTTTGTAGTGTACTCTTGGGACACCATGGCTGCCACCGAGGGTGCTATGCAAATAAAACAAAATGGCCAGTCAAGAAAAGGAAAAACAGATGTTCCGTACATATCGCAATTGAAATGAATAAAGCACACCAAGATAATCAACAAATGCATGGATATAGTGTGCTACACACTTGTAAACTTGCCACTCGTAAGGAGGACCATAATTGCAACCTTTGCTGTTTCGGTGCTCAAACTTCAAAGCAACCTAAGACAAATATACAGCAGCCAAATGTAAGAAGGAATATTCCATTACGTACAAGAAGACATTCAAATGCCATGTACTTTCCATTCCTTTAAAATATTAAATTTATGAAGAGTCATCACAAACCACATTGATTACCTCTATAGCCCCGGCACCACTTGAACGTTCACTACCACCAGAAATGCGACGTCCAACAAAAACCTGACCAAACCCACCTTTCCCAAGCTTTCTTTCAATCTTGTAAACTGGAGATCCTCCAACTTGAACCTAACAGATACATTCAAATATAAAATAATTCAAAGCCCATGAAAATCATTGTCATTCAACAGATAAATCCAAGTTATAGTAACCGTGTGACCGGCAACTGCAAAAATAAAAAACAAAAGCATTTTCCTTTATCAGTATAAAAAACAAACACATAAACCACAATTACTTAGCCAAAGAGTCAAAGGCATGATTCAACCCTTTCTAACAGAAAACCAAAGGAAACGGTGAAGAAATTTGTGCAAAGAAGTTGGCATAACTCAGAACAGTAGAATGCACAAAATTTCTAATTTCCAACAATGGCCAGCAACTGAAGCTCTTATTGTTTTTGGAAAGCAATAAAACTCTCAAATAACAATAATAAAAGAAAACAAATAAACAACGTAACAATGAATAAAAAAAGTCCGACCAAGGTCCAGATTGCCAATCAGAATAAAAAATAATAACGTGTCTAATCATCATCATCATCATCATCAAGGCCTTTTCTCAACTATTTGGGGTCGGCTAAGTCCGCCTGCTCTATCAAGGACCATACTCTTAATGAGGCCATAAACCCCTATATCTTTTCGCACTACTTCCAACCATGTCCTTTTGGGCCTACTCCCTTTCGCTTGAACTAACTCGCACGTCCTAACAGGTGTTATATTGGTCTGCATTGCACATGGCCAGCCCACCTAAGCCCACTTTTTTTCATCTTATCGCCTATTGGAACCACACCTGAGTTATCCCGAATGCATTCATCTTGAATTCTATTCTTTTTTGTCTTGCCATTCATCCATCCCAACATCTTTATCTCAGTTACATTCACCCTATGGCTATGTTTTTTCTTGACCGCCCAACATTCCGCCCCATAAAGCAAAGCTAGTCTCACAACTTCCTTATAGAACTTGCCCATAAGCTTTATTGGTATGCGGCGATCACATAAAACTCCAGCTGCACATCTTCACTTTGCCCACTACATACGACATCTTCCTCAATCTCTCTATTTTCCTGGATTATCGACCCAATAAGGCGTTCAACCATTACATGAAAATTGGCAGAGCTAATTTGGCATTGATCTAAAAGTGATTTAGGTTTCTAGGATGACCTGCTATCACAACAATTCTATTTTCTGAAGTGTTGTCATTGAAGTTAATATGAAAAGATATTAAAAAAATAAAAAATAAAATAAATAAAACTACAAAGCTAACTCATTTTGGAATAACAGTCCAAGTCAAATTATCAGTATACATTGACAAAATAGAAAACCAACATAATTTTGAGAATTGAAGACAAACCAGGAATATTAATAAGAGACTAAATCCTAAAAGGAAAACATAAGCCGATGCTCCCAAATACATTGAAACATAAAAAACAAAAAGTTCCCAATTTCAGGTTATAGGGATTGAAATTCTTCTTATAACTGTAGCAGAGAAGGGCTCATGCTTTATGCTTTTGTTTAGGAGAGCAGTGGTAACGCAATACAAAAGTATTTAAGTAACATTCTGTTGGCAACCAGTGAAGTATGGTTCTGTTTGCAGTATTGCAAGCATGCAAAACACCAATAAGCAGTGGTTTGCATTCTTTATAGAAAGGGGTCCCCCATCTTTCCATCTCGACTATGCAGCCCCAATGGTGTACCACACCTAGTACAGTATCACATGTTGCAGTGTTTCCAAGCAAACCCTTAACAAACCCAAGATAATACAAGATCTTCCCCAAGTGGATTTTTTGAGCCTCTCCCACTCCAGGACTGTCTTTGTGCATGAAAGAGATGAAGAGTTCAATGCTTGTTCCTCAAAACATCAACTAAATTTTTCCACTGAATTAATATGTTGGTGCACAGAAGAAAAACGAAAAAAGTAATCAAGATACCAAAGGACTGCTATGTTAGTCCTTTTTAGGCTAGTGGCAAACAACCTGGATTGGGTGCAGGAGATCAAGGAGTCAAACCCTTCAGTTTGTCCTAGAACACCAAACAAGCTGACATTTTTTCGGAAGATAAAAATGATGGAGAACAGAAAGGCCTACTCTACATCAAAAAGAAAAAAAAAAGAGAAATCTTAGCTACACAAATGAAAAACAAGAGTGCAATAATAAATTCTTACTCTCTCGGGAAATGGGGCGGTACTGCCCTCATCTTCAGGCGCAGCAGCTCTCTCAGCACTAATGGCCCCGCTGTCGTCACCCATGACGTCCTTTCCTCGACCACTCGGCTCTGACAACAACTCCAAAACCCCAGCACTTGGTGGTCCCACCTCTTTGGCCTTTCCCTTCTTCCTTGTTGGTGCCCTAGTTCTTGGCCCCACCCCTCTTCCTCTTGGCTTAGTCCCTAAATCTGCAGCGTTCTCTTTAGCAGCTGCAGCTCTTGTGCGAATGTAACAAGGGTTTCTTGGGCGTTGCACAAGCTTCTTTTTTGCAGGTGAAGGGCACTCTTGTGGCTTTTGTCGAGTATTCACAGGGGGAGCGCGGCTTTTGCGCACTCCACTCCGAAGCCTGGGCATGCTTCCTCACCCATACAATGCAAAGTATTCCTCCTCAGTCTAACCATATCTTTCTTGACATAAAACCTAAACCCCCACCATATGTTTCCCTCAGATTAAGCTCAGTTTTTAAATGCCCAAAAGATGCTCGTGAGATTCCTGGTGAGATAATAGAGACCTGCATCAATACAAAGCAATCAGATAAATGCACATAAACAAAATGACTTATTAAAGTTCTTTGCAAACAGGAGAGCATATTTCAAAACCTCAAAAACAATCACTGAATCTGCTAACAGCACAATGGATAATCAAAGCCCCAGTATGAAACTAGAGCAAAGAGGGAAGGATGGGTTCTCAGAAATGCTATTTTACCCATGTTATACAAAGAATCCAACCTCAAACCCACTGAATCTCTTTCATCAGTAATCCAATTCCCAATCAAATGACCAAACCTAAAGTATCCAGAAACCTATCAAAATTGCAACCCCCTCAAAATCCTCTAGGCTTCTTGCAAGAAAAAGAAAATGCATATAACTCCCATAGAGACAAGGTAATGATCCTATGACTCAAGAGCAAAACGCATGATTTTCAAAACCCCAATATTTCCCCAGTGGAAAGAAAAAAGAAGAGATTACAACACTAGCTCAATTGTGGTTGATTATAATTCAAGGGAAAAAAGTAAAAATCTGGATGCAAAATAAGAGAGCGACAAAGAGAGAGAGGAGTTGGAAATCCCAAATTTCGAGATAATCACCATCTCTGTGACCAGATTGTAGAATTTTCCAGTATTGAGAGAGAGAGAGAGAGAGAGAGAGAGAGATGATATATGCAAATAGTTGGCGTACAAATTATCATATCCCCATGAACCCCATGTCTTCATAATCTCGTTCTCAGAAACCAGGTCACCATCTTGAAAACCTCAATTTGATTCCATCACCACAAATCCTATGCTTTTTGCACGCAGGATCGAGATCCATATAAAAAAGTAATAAATAAATAAAAGAAGAAATAAACGAAACTCATCGCGATCATGCGAATTACGAACAGAAAATAAAAAAAAAAAAAAAGTATTATCAGAGTTGCAGAGGATCTTACCTGATATTCAACGATGAGCTTTGGACGAAGGAGATGCACAATCGCGGTGGTGTCGAATGAAGAGGGCCTTTTGCGCCTCTCTCTCTCCTCTCGCTCTACTTTTTCCCCTCTCTCTCTCTCACTTTTCCCCCTCTATCTCTCTCCACTTCTCTCTCTTACGGTGAAAATGACTCCGATCGTCCTCATCTTTTATCCGAAAGGCGAAACAAAAGTCCCTAAAGTTTAAAATTACTAAATAGAAACAAATAATTTCCCTACTTTAAGGGCCTTTTTATAAATCTTATAATTCACTATTTCAATTGACTTAATTACCTATTTTTTTGGTAGTGTATATGATAAAACTATCTGAGATAAACTTACAAACAATTTTACAAATAATGTTATCATTTTGAAAAATAAACAGTTTTACAAATAATTTTATCATTTTGAAAATTTATTCTTACTTTAGTCACATTAATTTGCTGAAATCACATAGAAATAGTTAAAAATAATCAGAACTCATAAAAAATTTCAATAATTAAATAGTGAAAAGATTGCATAAGGTTGAGGCCCTAAACAATCAAATTAGGGCACACATTAAAACTTCAATAAAAGAGGTTGTTTTCATGTCAAAAATCCCTCAAATCGATCATCTCAACCTCGAGATTTATAGACATGAAAGAAAATGGATTTCAAGTCTAGGAAGTAGTGCATTTTGTAATGCATTATCTAGGCCATCAATTTCAATATTTTCAAGTGTTTATAGATCTGTTAGATCAACATTATTTTTTATGAGTTAAATTTTATAATTAGAGTGAAAATTAGTTTTTAGGTCATCACAAATATTTTTTCTATTCAAAACCTATATTTCAATACTATTTAGATGTACGACTTATTTTGATTGTTTAGAGCCTCAAATTTATACAAACCACACCCATTAAATAAGGGCAAGCTTTTATGCTTCCCCTGTTGCATAAAACTTATATACTTCTCCCTATCCAACCGTCCATTGTGAATGGACAATTTAGATGACTCCAATCACAATGCCACGTCTCTACACTATTTTTATTTATTTTTTTGACAAAATATTTTGATGCTAAAATTTGGATGTCTAATCCTTTCTTAAACTCGCACATATAAAACATATAAAAAAATATTCTTAATAAAACCTAAATACCCCTAAAGATTCAAGGCATATTTTAGTAATTATATTTTATCAAAAATTTCATTTTAATATTTTTACGTGTGCTCCATTGAGATGTTGGCACATACCAAATTTCATATTTATATAATTAGTAGAAAAAAACTAAAAAAAAAATACTTTGAGGCATCGGATCTCAATCAAATTGTCAGTGGCTCACTTAATCTAAAGCGGACGTTTAGATATGGGGAAGTATATATCTTCTATGTAGTAGGGGAACTATAGGGTTTCCCATTAAATAATATTATAAATGGTACAAGATAATAAAAAACAGTTAACAAAATAATATTATCCAAAGTATATTAATTTTAGATAAAATAATATATTCTATATAAAATTAATTATCGTCCAAACAAACCCCAATTGTACTTATATGTCCTTAATTATAATACTTTTCTATAACTTTACCATTTGGTAAAGTTACACCATGGTGGCATTTTGGTTCTACACACCAGTTGGAGATCCTCACCCATGAGACGTCAATGAAAGGACTAATTTTTGTCACTTTACTAAAATTTCACTGAATCGGTTAAGAAGCATTGAGATTTGAGAATATTGTGTTTGTGTTTTTCAATGTTTAACTAAAATTCATTAGTGAATAACTTTGTATGGTGATGAGGATATATATCATATCATCCAAGCTTTATCTTAATTAATTGTCGTCTATCAGAATCTTGTGCAGAACATTGTACAACGAGCACAACTTCTTTCAAATTTATTACATCATATTCTTTTAACAAGATTCATGATAAGATGTGGTAAAGTTTTATAACGAGGAGGATGTTTAGTAACAAAAAAAGAACACCCGAACCATCTATTTTTAGATATTTTGAAAAGAACACCCGAGCCATCCATTTTCGATATTTTGATTGGGGCGTGTTATTTATCCACGCAAAAGTCCAAGATTTCTTCTTCATCTTTTTTTTTTATTATTCAAAATTTAAGCATGATCAATAATACATCTCAACTATCCAAATTCATAATTGAATACTATATATGATTGTAACTTTCATATACTAAACATAAGTGATCTTATTACATACTTAATTTTAGGGCATTAACTACCACAAGGTATGAATCCTCGTACCCCTATCCAAGACTTTCATACTTTTTGTACTTGAAAAGATGATACAGTATCCAAACTATTCTTCCAAGGGTGTGGTTTTTATGTGGTTGCAACTTTAAACAATCCAATTAAGACGTATCTTCTAATTTCATCATAACATATAATTTTGGTGTAAATATTTTTTTAAAACTATTTGAAAATCTATTTTTCATATCTAATTATAAAATTTTAAACTCCAAAAATAGTTAAAATCAAGTAGATATATAAACATATAAAAAATTGAAAATGGACAGTCTAGATAATGTATTGCAAGATGCATCATTTCTAGCACTAAAAATCTTTCCATATTCATACATCTCGATGTCGAGATGATCAATTGGAGGGTTTTTCAACATTAAAACTACATTTTCCGATGGATTTGTGAGGTGCATCTTTAATTCTACATTCTAAGGTTGCAAACCTTATATAAACTTTTTCCTTGTGGCAATTGTCCATTTTTTTTTTTTTTTATCATAGCAAAGAATGAGTCCTACTTATGCACAAAAATATTTGTTTTTTTATCAGTTATTGATACATATTTGGTAATTATTTTTTCTCCAAAAAACTCCACAATATATAAGCATGTCATCAAGAAACATGTGGGGAGTGTGAATAATTACAGGTTTCTCTGAATAGACTTAGTACCTATTAATCAATATAAATATATAAACTTGTCTTATATAGACAATAAAAATGACAAGGATATAAATAAATCATATATACTTATACTATACCCAGAGTTACTATAAAATACAAGATATTGTACCTACCATTTCCATATATACTGATTACAATGTGCACCTTCCATATTATCATGGTGGACAATATATACTAGGACGAACTATAAGTCAGTTGCCTTATGCATCTGCCCTAGTTTTCAAGGGATTCACCGATTTAGGAGCTGAAACACATCCCAAAACTATGCAATTCATTATCCTCTGAGATCTGTGATTCTGGAGCTCCAAAACCATATGTAGATTTATGATATTTTAAAAACCGAAATGATGACTCTCAAAAGAGAAAAGATGTAACTACATACACCATTTTAAGGTCAAAATTCATTTTCTTTTACAGTGATGCTCGAGATGATTGACCTGCAAAATTTTGGATCCAAAATCAATATTCATTGTTGATTTTTAACTGGTGGACTCACTGTAATAGGTGAGTCCCAAATCAAATGAAATGTGGATGATGCTTGAAACTCAATAATTTATGTGAGGAAGTGCACTAGGGAACTGCAAGGGATTTCTTATCGAGAAAGTTTCGGTATTGAAAACTTACAAATTAATTATCTCAAACTCGATAGTATATATCCGAAAGACTGAAGCCTAAAAATAATTTATTGTATGAGATGTTTATGGCCTGTCCATTTCAAGTGCCCTTAACTCATCAGTTGTTCGACATTATGGAGCTTCCAATTCCATAATTAGAGGTAAAAATAGATTCGCAGACCGGGTCCAGATGCTTACAACCCTAAAACTATACGGCACGGCACGACTTCACAAAATATTGTGAAGCCGTTGCCGAGGCTCAGCCACACCCGTTATTGTTCCACATCTTCATTATTATCTGATGTTGTACTAGCAGTACATCTCCAAATGCCAACGAAAGGCCTACCATTACCACCAATTAGCACCATCTTAATATTATATTTTTGAGATAGATTTCGGACCTAATTTTTCAGAAATACATAATCTCTAATACAAAGACATGTAAAAATAAATAGATTTAAAAAACTAAAAATTATAATTTATGAAAAAAATATTTGGACAATTGGTTTTAACTTTTTTTTCTTGAGGGACCACCAAATTTAAGAGTTTGAAATGTACAAAATATTGGCATAACAGTTTTACTCACGTTTACAAGGAGGCCAACTAAATTTGTCGATGAAGTCAATTTTGTCAACTTTTCATCACGTGCATAAATGTTATGTTTAGGGGGTCCCACTGTTAAAAAAAAAAGTGAAAATATCGATTATATGAGTGAAAATATCGGTTATATGGGTGGTCAGCTCTAGGCCAACCCTATGGAGTAACATGGTCATCGTCAAATTATCGATGACTTTGAGGTCTCCACGAGTTTTTAAACGTTCTCTAACTCTCACTCTCTTTAAAGCCGGGTGGCAACGGGTCGGGTCACGTTGGATTCGGACCGAAAAAAATGATATGGGCTTGGATTTTATCTAAAAATTAAAATATCTATGTATTTAACTATATTTATATATATTTCATATATTGATATCCAAAAAATATTATCAGATCTGAACTAAGACCCAAATAGTATTCAGGTCCAAAAATTGGACCTAAATATTACTTGTCGGGTCCGATATTTTGACCCATGCCCAGATCAGGGTCTAGCCTAGCCCTTGAGTCCTGGGTTGGGTTCGGGTTTAGGTCCATTGCCACCCCTATACCCCAACTTCCCTAGGAACCTATGCCCTAACCCCATTCCCACATGTTTCCTATAAAATCCCAGCCGGTTGGGGACTCGCTCAAGTCAGTTTGGGTTGAAGGTGGGTAGATGGTTTCGATTTGAAAAACCTAAAATCACTCGAGTCCCTACTTTTTCTGCATTTAAAGTTTTTATTAAAACTTCTAAGTTATGACTCGGGATCACCTCTGACAGGTACTGTTTTACAGAGGCCATTATTTATTAGAGAGTGGGGTAATATATTGCTCTTTTGATATTTGAAACAAGCTGGTAGCATAAACCCTGTAGTATCCAAATATTCAATTGCAATATAACAATATTGTTTTGTTTTTGGAATTCAAAAATAATCTTATATATTTCATATGTTATACTCGACTCACCGTTTGAA